CTCCCTGCTTCAGCGGATGCGAATCCCACCCAAGGCTGTGGGAGTGCACCCAGCCAATCGTGATGGGTCATGTCTGGTAGTTCAAGACGTACATGAGTTGTTGGACAATATCTCCGCTGTCGGCTTCGAACCGACTCGGACGAATCCCATTGCCATTGAAGCTTCCAGCGAGGCTGAGCAGGTCTTCAACAAGCAGCTGGTTGAGTCTGCAGGCGGTCAGCTCGGCCGGCTTGAACTTGGAGAGCTGAAAGTGCTCTCCCTCAGCAGTTCACACACGAATTTTGCACTTCGGTTGGTTGCTGATGGAGCACCCCACAAATCGGAGGTAATCTCGGTTCAGGGCAGTCTCTCCCTAGAGCTCGTGCAGAAGCGAGACCCGGTGCTCGCTGAGTATGTACTCCAAGGCCTGGAGTGGACGGTCATCGCAGCTGAAGTGGGCCAGAAGTGGCCAGACTTGTTGCAGCTGGTTCAGTCCTCATGCAATGCAACTTTACAAAAAACGGAATCAGAACTTCAGTTGTTGCGGCGGATTTGTACCATCGTGGGGCGACAGACCGGTGTGCCCGACTATCAGACGGTCAAGAGACAAGCCCTGCACTCGAAGCCTCCGTGTGCAGAGTGCCTCCCAGGGCTGTATCAGTTCGCACTCAGGTTTCTTGCTTGGCACTTTGATTGTAGATTTCTTATTATATCTAGTGTCTGTGTTGAAGAGGTTTTGGAGAGTGCCTGCATGCAAAGTATATAGAGATGCAGGCATTGTGGCGGTGCGGATGCATTCTTTCTCGCCGAGACTGAGATGTTTCTTCGCAGTCACGGCCAGAGCAAGGGCATGGGACCTTCCTTCTGGGAGAATGTGTCGGCGGACTTGAAGAAGGGCGACCAAGTGACCTTCTTCAGGCATGCTTTGGTGAAGCTTGCACTGAGCACCAATCTGGTGACTGCCACATCTGTCAAGAAGGCATTGGCCAAAGATGCCCTTCCCAAGGCCATCAAAGCCGACGAGGCAATGTCCAAGATTCGCAGCATGCTCACCGGAGCCGGTGTGCAGTTGATGAGCGACACTCGGCTAGTGAATCTCTTGGGGGTCACGGATTGCACGATGGCGAAGCTCGTCTTGGGCCTGAGCCCTGAGGACGACAAGAAGTACAAGGCCGTGGAAGCAGTGGCCCATGATTGCATCACGGTGGCGAATGGCCTGCTTGGGACAGCTCTGGTGTCGCCTTGGGCGGGCGATGCGGAAGTGATGGATGCAGGGCTGCAGCAGGAGTCATCGGGGTCCCAGGGGGTCCAGGAAAGACTCCGGGAGCTGAATCCAGACGGCAGCCTCAAGAATCCGATTGAGCTCCTCAGTGCTGAGGGCTTCATCGTTGGTGCCTGCATCAAGAAGAAGGGCGAGAAGTTCGAAGGCCAAATCGGCGCCATGGACGACAGCAATGTCACCGTCAAAGATCTGAAGTCCGGTGGAGTCTTGAAGGTGCCGGCGAGAGATTTGCTGAATTCGGGCTGGATGGTTTTCAAGCCGAAAGCGGAGCCCGAGTCCATTGCTGCTTTGCAGTCCATGGGGCCCAAGAAGAACAACGATTTCTTGGCCGGCTTGGTTATCGCTGAGATTCATCAGGCAATGCATGAGTTGGTCAAGACCCACGATTCGCAGAAAATTCTCGAGGGCTTGTCTCTGCAGCTGAAGCCATGCAGAGCTTTGGTGAGCCAGCAGGTCTTCGGGAAAGGCAAGCTCATCTTGGTGCCATACAGCTGGAAGGTTTGCACGAGGAGCCCGAAGCCCGAGCCCATGGCGAATGCGGTCCAGGTGCAAACCAAGTGGAAGCTCGACGATCGTGAGTTTTGGTTGCAGAGCTGCAACTCCTTGCCGAAGGATAGCAATCCAGAAGTCGGCAAACACTTCATCTCGCCGTACTTCTTGGTCGGATCTTGCGAAGACGAAGATTCCGCCAACATGGTTCAGGTCATGTCCGGGACCGTACAATCGTCGGTTCGCATCCCAATGTTGAAGAACAGCAAGGAGATTGGCACGGGGACTGCCCTGCATATCCTGAAGGTGAAGCAGGCTGACGAGGAGGAGCATGCCCCGAAAGCCAAGAAAGCCAAAACCACCAAGAAGTGAGCATTGGCTGTCATGTTCTGAACATGCATCGGGATTGAGTCTTCCTTTCACACGAGCAACATTGGCAGGCAGGGACGGACCGAGGCTTCTTCAAAAGTGTGATTGCATTCTTTTGAGCACCTCCAAAGGCAGGAGTTTAAGTTGTTGCAATTGTGCTGTGCCTCGTGCTTGCTCTTCAGCGCCTGCAGGGCTTCTTTAGCTCGCAGGCAGCTGAGTGCATGTTGTTTCGATTGCAGGATCTTCTGGCTGAGCATTTCTAATATATATAGGAACCAACACATAGCTGGAATCTGCCTGCCATGAACTTGACTGTCGAGCAGAAGATGGTGCTGTATGTGAATGGCAACCATTGCATCCCCGAGCAGAAATCTGTCGACGGTGAGACCTACATGCATCTCAAGAAGTGGGATCGTGCCCTTGGCAAAACACTGACAGGGAAATCCTTAGACTTGCGGCCAGGCAAAGCCAGTGGATCGTTGAACATTGACATCTGGGACGAAATGATCCGTGCGAGGCAGGACAAGGCAAACCAGTTGTTGCAGGAGGCATTGAACACGGAGGAGGATGCTGCGACGGAGAACAAGAAGAAGTCCAAGAAGCCGCAAGTTTTCAAAGCCTCTTCGAAACATGCACTGGTGTTGCCGCTGAAATTCACCATCTCGGTCCAGGGGCACGAGTTCCAGGTGCTGTTCGACGGAATCGGAACAAAATCGGTGTGGATCGAATTCTCCGAAGAGAACCTGAAATGGCTGAAGAATAGTGTCGACAGCAGTGAGCAGAAACCCCGCAAGAAAAGGCGAACCAGTCGCCGATCGGGCAATGATCAGGAGAAGTCGCAGGAGAAGTCGGATGATGACAACGATGAGAAGAACGAGGAAAGCAGCTCCGAGAACTAATGAGATTCGGCCGGGTTTGCTATAGCACATCGTGTTCTCTCGATCAGCCACATGCAGACAGAAGTGAGAAAGTGTCCATTTGTTTGTGGCATGCATGCATTCCCACGATGCAGACAGAAGTGAGAAAGAAAGTGTCCATTTGTTTATCACATGCATGCATTCCCATGATGCAGACAGAAGAGAGAAGGTTGCAATTTGTTTGTCGCATGCAAGCATTCTGGAAGCTGCTCAGCATGGAACATGGCGGAATGCATCATGATTCGAGGCCTTTGGCTGTTGGGGGCGGGGCTTTTAGCTTTGCTTAGTCCGGGGCCATGCCGGGGTTCACGATGATGTGTTCCGGAACCCCTTCCGCCGTGGACCCAGTTTGGTCTCAAAAGTTGTGGTTCTATAGACTCGGGCAAACCTGCAACTTCCCAGGATGCCGAGCAGAGGCTCATGATGGACCTCGTGACGGTGGAAGATGTCTTCTACCCAATGAAAGGCTGGCTGTCTTCAATCCTTACAAGTCTTTCCTTTGTTTTTCGGCAGGACCCAATCGCCGGAAGCACCGCTGGGTCACGGAGTCCGGCACGAAGCTGCGATGGCTGGGAACCGGTGTTTGGTCAGGTTGGCACATCGACACCCGGGATGGCCAGCAAAGCCTTTGGTTCCACGAGAACCACGAGTTGCCGGAGCCGCCGGAGAAGGGCTGGCAGTTCTGGCACAATGGGCGATACCACCAGAGCAAGCTGTGGTTGGTGGATGTCGACAAGGCTTTGCCCAGCATGTTGTGCTTTAAGTGTGTTTCCCTAAACTCATATAATTCCGAAGGACTCTCGGCACGAGCCCCACATGCCGGTGCCAGCTGCAGTGGAGGCAGTGCCTTTTCCGGGTTTGCTGTGGGCATAAAAGACTTTCGTGTGCATGCAGGAAGAAGAAACCCGAGAGCACGACGATCCCTAGGCTTTGGCTTGTTTTCTTGCATTCCGATTTGTTTTGGGCCTGTAAGACTGTCGTGTGCATGCAGGAAGAACAGGGCCCAGAGCATCAGGAGGCATTGGCTTGCTTTGTTCCATTCCGGTGCATGATGGCTTGCCTGCGAGCACATCGGCCCTGCATGCAGCCATCATGCCGAGACCTTTGCAGGATCCCATGATCGTGGAGGAGGCGGCCGAGGAATGCGGCATGGAGGCTGAGCAGGAGCTTCAGCACTTGCAAAGCTGTGGCAATGTTCATGCTGAGATTGCGAATATCTAGCCTCCGTATATATTGGTTCTCATATATACATATATACATATATATATATATATATACATGTATAGATATTTCTGTATAAATGCAATTATAAGTAAGTGTATATGTAGATACATATATATATATATATATAGGTATATAGGCAATATAGGTATAGCTTTTTTTCTATCACATCCTTATGTACACATATAGACACCAAGGGTTCTTGTATATTTTAAGCCCAAGGCCTAAAAACCCCAACCATACACCAAACCTTAAAACCCTCAACCCACCTTAACACCCTTCGATCAGGACCTACCGGAGGAGCCCCTCTTCGAAGAGGAGGTTGGGTTCACACGGGTCTTGGGAGCACAGGCGGTTTCGTGCATGTCTTCCTGAGGACGAACAAGAGGAAGTGTGCATCGAGGAGGCCCATGCACCGTCTTGATGGGCTCTGGGTTGGGTTGCTCTGCTCCTTTCGAACTGAGGAGGAACCTGTGCTCCACAGCCCCAAGGCCTGTGGATGCCATTCTTGTGAGACCTGAAAAGAATGGAGCACATGCAGGACTTGGCTGATGATGATGATGATGATCCCGGCCACGAGGCGATTGGGTGCGGCATGTGTCGGCAGTTTCGTGGATCCTGCCGTGTTCGAACCCAGGGCACACAGCTGGCTGTGGTTAAGCCGAAGCAGAAGGCCAAGGGTTTAGGGTTTCGGGTTTGGGGTTTGGGTTTCGTGTGTTGCAACTCCACATGATGCAAGCCAC